AACTTCATTAAACTTGAGATCGAACAGGCTCGAACATCCAACTTCATCTAACAACTTGGAATTTGTAAACTCTAACTAACAACTTTCAGGCTCAAACGTTTGAACCCAAATTTTTGAATTCATTTAATTCGATAGTGTAGATTGTACGTTTTGGATGGACGTTAAATATTGCATGTTGCAATCGGATCAGTTGGAAGTTTAGTACTCAAACACGTACCAACGCGACCAAAAAGTATCATATGTCAATGTGACGTCATTGACGAAGGCTTGTGGGAACATCGTAATACGAGCGCACACTTCACTGAGAATTAAAACACGATACCTTCCTTCGCTCAGTTGTTAGCAAACACGTGCATTGATATCAATCTTTCTTGTAAAAAGTTAAAATTTTATCGTCTCTATATTCTTCATCCTAACAATGGATAAAGAAATCAAATCTATGAAAGACACTCTCCGAAGGGTCGCAGACCAGTTGGAAAGAATTCAAAGTTCCCAAAACGTTTATATTCCAGAATTATTCAATCACACGCACGATCTGCTTTAAACTCAGATTAATCTTAATTTAAAGCTGATTCTACTTCAATCGAATTAGTGATAGAGGCCAATAACCAGCCAGGAACAACAGGGCTACATCTCCCAAGGCCACGAGGACCTTCAGGAGCACAAAATATTCCAGCCCCAAGGCCAGATCTGTCCGGTAGCCTGATTCAGCCGTCAAACCAGCACAGACAGGCTGTCGAGCATCGACGGCTATTTAGTGCGTATAGGAGTAGTGGTGCCGCCGAAAAGGGAAAAGGAAAGGGCAAAGGGAAAGTGCCTACATGTACTTTGAAATTTGTGGCTCTTTCTGAGGTGAGCGCCGCAAAGCCCCCAGCTAAGGTCAAAGAAAGAACAATGTTAACGAATGCAGGCCTTGGAGAGGCGACAGTCCAGTTTGGACTGGACATGAATGCCGTGGAATGCCATACAAAAATTACAGAAAGATTCCCGAAGTTCAAGGAGACAGGGTACGAGGTACTTTTGTACCAACGCGGCGAAGAAGCGGGATTTTTTAAAGTGGAAGTGCCCCATACTCCACGGAGATTGAAAGACGCAGCGGGGAGTGCGAAGATATATCTAAGACCTCTTCAAAAAGACCTCGACGTAGATTATACTCTGCCGACAGAAGAAACAGAGGTAAACTCCTATCAAAGCGACCAATTTTTATGTCATCTTTCCAATAGTGATCTTGTTGTGCAGATCGTTTGCAACAGAAACTCAAACAAAAGAATGGATGAATGGATGAATGTAGGGAGGACGGGGAGGAGGGAGGGGGATGAAAGAATGGATGGTGGAAGGAGAATAGAAAATTTAAAGAAGAGAAGGGCGTGTATCATAACATTCTAAATGATGTTCATTTCTTTTTATATTTTGACATATCTGAATTGACTGATTAACGAATCCCTATCTACAGATGGGGTTAGTTGATCACTCAATTTGTTTCGTGTTTCTCTGCGTGTTTATATCACAGTATATAGACACGCGCGCCGTTTTATATTCCTTAAATATATATATATATATATATATATATATATATAT